ACATGAATTGACAGGGGTTAAGAAGAAACATCTGTTGTGGGTAGGCTATTGTATAATTGTCTGTTACAGGAGTTTAATGCCTTCCTTTAAAGTCACGTTCTCCGAGACCTGGTCTAAGAATTCTTAGGTGTTGGTCCTCGTTGCATGGACAGCATGTTATAGAATAGAGAAATAGTTCCTTTGTAGGAACCTATTGAATAACTACAACAAAGCACAATGGTCATTAAGCTGATTGAAAGTATCATGATATATTCCCAAGGATCTTGGACGCAAAAGAGAATTTTAATTATGTCCCCATGCAGAGTGCAGGGCGGGTATTATATGCAAGCAATCCAAGCTGCTTAGGGCCTCATGCAGGCTGAGAAACTCAAACTAGCCCAATTTTTCCTTCTGGCAGGGAGACTGGAGAGAGGTGCAACTCATGGCCTAATTTCTTCCTCTCTTCCTGTCCCCCATCAGACTGAAGCCCCACCTTTTCTTAAGACCAAGTTGTGACAGCATGGGCTAGTTGCCATTTCAGGCAAAGGGGCAAGCATGTCGTCTTTGGCAAGGAATTAAGCATCTTGTGAAATTAGCTGTACCAAGTGAAGCGCTGTGCAGGCAGCTTGTAAAAGGCACAAAGATGCAGGAAATTAATGCTAAATAGCAATTATTTTACAATACTAGGGGAAGAGAAAGTTTGAAAATTTTGAAAGAAAAAAATATATATTATAAAAAACAAACCTTAATGACATTTTCATACACCACTTTTGACAACACAACAGAGAGAAGAGAATTAAAACTGAGACTGAACAAGGGTAATCAAAGGTTTGTGTGAGCTCAGTGGCCCCTTCTGTTCAGTCCTGCAACTTTGTTTTATCTGATCTTGCAGAATTTTTGTTTTAAATCCACAGTGAAGAAAAATTCTGACCACAGCCTGAGTAACCTTACCGAGAAAAGGGTGTTTTCACACAGCTATTCTTGCATGTCATCATCCGGATGCAATGGTGAAAGCTGTGAAAGGGCAAGTCTTTGATAAGGTTTTGGATTTTTTTGTGTGTGACAGGATGATAAGAATTTGTTGCTTCTGCCATTTTGACAATTCCCATCACGTTTGAGGGCAAGAAGAAAGGCATGTGTAGCTTATTTTTTGGATCTAACTGGATCCAGATTAATTAAGACACCACGATCTGGTCTCTCAAAATGTTATTTAATGTAATAGCTTCCTGTCAAACCTGGGGCATTGCAACAGGTTGAAATTCACAATCATCTGATTATTCATTGGCATAAGTTAAGAGATTTTACTCCACTTCCTAGAAGATAGTTGTCCATATTACACAGACCACCACCACAACTGACATTTAATTTGCCCTTTTGTTGTCCATCGCAGTAGGAGGACCAAGGAATGAAAGAGGATTGACTATGAAAGTGGAATCTGCCATCCAGAGCTGGATGAAGCACATTGGTTTCGTTGGATGTCCTTTTCCTGTTCCTAAAGTGTCATAGTTTTGTGGGTTTTTTTGGTTAATTAACATTTCCATAATATTTAAAAAGTTATTCAGGATGCAAAGTCATATTGTTGTCTGACAAAAGATTTCAAATGTGGAATTACTGGGCCTTGCAGCATCAAGGGGTCTGATGATGTAATCACCAAACCAAGATGTCTCAATTGGTGATGCCAGTGAGGTGTTGACATGGATCCCTTCTGCAGCCAGCTTTCAGGCTGCTGCCTTCAACCTGCTGCACACACGGGATCTTTCCTGAGCCTGATCCCCTCTGCCTCCTGGATGTAGTTTCTTTTGATTGGTCACTCTGGGTAATATGGTGTCCTCTATGAGCTAGATATTGATTTGGGTTGCTGCCCCTCCCAGAGGGCTCTGCGGCCCAACCCTTCCCCTCATACTTGTTCTGGAAGCCAGGGGTAGAAGTCATCCAGCAGCTTAGTTACAATATGCACATCTCTGACCTCCTTCCCCAATTTCTTTATGGCAATAAAAAACACTAAAACATTTGGGGTATATCTACACTCTACTCATAGGGTGTGATTACAGCTTGAGTAGACATACCCAAGCTAAACCTGTACAAGCCCACTGAGAACCCTGGGCAATTGTTTACGGGGCTACTCGGTGCTGAAGCACGCACTGCTACAGCTTCAACCTAGCTCGGCTATGTCTACTCAAACTGCAGTCGCATCCTGTGAATACAGTATAAACAAACCCTTAGTTCCATCATTCCTTCTTTCACAGAGGTTTTGTTATTTTGCTTTTTACAAAAAAGAGAAAGCACAGTAGCTCAGACAATAGGATTTCACATACAGGCAAACATTTCCTAGTGCACTATTCATCTACCACAACATAAGTGCTAAAGTATCTATATTTGCAATAGACAGAAATTGAAAGTGTCCCTCTTCCAATGTTGTTTAAGATCAGTTTCAGCCTTCTAAACCCATAACTAATTTTTAGAACAACTCTGTAGCTGTTAATTTTGGCAGAGGTGAAGAGAAACAAATAAGTACTCTCCTGGAATCAGATCATGTTGTATTTCCATAAAGCATGTCCTTTCTAGCCTTCCCATCATGGTATGTCTATTTTAGCTTTTGCTATGCTCTGTATTTGCCATTCCTGAGATGTATGAAATACATAAGAAAACATGTTATGCCTCTGTAAATCTAGATTTCCTCATGTCTTTATCTGGTTATCTTAGTCTACCTTTAAAAATAAATACCTGGTTCTTCTCAACTCTCCCTCAACTTTGACTGTGAAGATGAAGCCATGTGATGTCACATCTGTCTGTTCTGTTTTTCATTATGGCACATTGGTTTTACACCATCCAAAGCAGTTCTTTTGAGATCCCTGGCATAGTTCATCAGACTAAGTGTTTTTGCTCTGTTCCAACTTGGGCCAGGTCATCATGACTTCGTAAAATGGAACATGCATCAATCTGCTTCACCAATTACAAGTTTTATGGCAAAGTAGCAGCAAGTGAGTTGAGAGGCTGGAGTAGTTACTGTTGGTAATTTTATAACTGGCTACTAGAGGATAGCTTGATTTCATAAAGTTGCCTTTGTGGAGGCTAAGAGTAATAAACGTGAGTGAAAGAAGCACGTGTACAAACACACACATCCCAGCAATATTGCTTTACAACTAATTTCCTTCTCTTTTTTTTTTCTCCTGAAATTTAATACAACTTTAGATCACCCCCGCCAAAAAAAAAAAGTGGTAAATCTGGTGCAAACAATTAGGTGGATTTCAGAAAACGAGAAGAATTAGAAATACAGTTGTTGCATGTTATATAAACACCTCAGAGCACAATAGATTCCTTAATTGTCTTATTTTGGGATTAAAAGTTTTAAGGTTCCAATTCTGCACTGTTTTGGTGTCTCTCCTCTGAAATACTAAATGTTTTTAACTCCACTGAAATTAACGGCTCTTGGCACTATGTAGACTTGGATCCTAACCCACCACCATCCCTTTATGCAAATAGTTGTGGCAAGCTGCATAATGAGTTATTTAGTAGGGAATCCTGTTACCAGCAGGAGTTAAATATTCAGGTGAAAGATTTGAATGCACTGTGGTGATATTGTTCTTTTTGTATCCATGCCCTTCTTGATCGCACCATACTTTGGAGTCAAGCATTTTGAGGACAATAAGAAGTGCAGGGCTTTGTGTTGAATACCATGATGCAACCGCTGTGTATTAGAAAGTAGGTTGAGATAATGGTTAGCAGAGGAGTACGCTTTACGTAATGCTGATGCAAAGATTTTATTTGTGATCCCCTTTGGGCAGGAATTGCCTCTGTGTTTTTGTATAGTATCAGGCACACATGGTGCTCAGTAAATATATGGAAATAATAACGCAGAAAGGATTGGCATCCCTGACTCACTTCTTGGAAAGTCAAAACTTCCTGCTGACATACCTGACACATGGGGCAGCACTCAAGTGGTCTCAACGTCTTTGCTGTCTTCTTAAACATCCGTTGGTGCCTTCTGGAACACTTTGAAAAAACATCCCATTGAAACATTGGCCTTTGATGAAACAGGATCTTTGATTTCTTAGTGCAACTGCCTCTGGTGCTGATTGGCCACCTCCAGACGCTTGCTCAGTGTGACATCACAATGCTCTGGTTTGAAGGTGACTGGTATGTCATAAATACAGGGAAATAAGCAGACCAGTTTTCTCATGTGAATGTGTGGGAATAGTCAAATGAATTCCCCACATGTCAAATTATTCCTAGAAGGAAAAAAGTTTAAAAACATTTCCAGGAGGCATTAGCAGCTCTGCAAGGCCCACTTCGGAGATCAGTAAAGACTGGCTTATGTTGCCCTGTGTCTTGTAAAATCAGCTGGTTGTTGCACTCTGCCGTATAGCTTTCTGAGGCCTGTACTCACTAATGGATCACAGTCCATCTGCGGGGTGGCAGTTGTCATGCTCATTACCGCTCTGTGTTCACTGAGGCCAGTAAGAGAGGGGAATTTGTTATTTAAGACTTATTATGCTGCATTCACATCTGGCAAAAAGTAGGCATGTTTCCTACCCTCCATTGAACCCTGTATGTCAACAAGACCCTTGCCAATCTCACAGTTTTTAATCAGTAATAAGCTACCAGTCTAGACTCATGCATTTGTCTCTCTGCTAGTGAATGACAGTCCAGTCTTCATGTTTCAGATCCTGCAGCATATGGATTTGTGTCCTGCTTAGTATCAAGCTGCAAAATATTGAACATTTAGACAAAAAATCCTTTTGCTTCATACTGAGATTTCACAAGGACTCAATTTTTATAGACCTTTTTACTATCAAGATGATGCTCTTAAACATATCTTCTTATACATTTTCAAACAAGGAACTCATCCTATTAAGGCCAATGATTTATTAAAAATGTTTACAATCTATGCAATTACTGTTTTTTAGACAAGACTGATACCACAGGCAATGGGAATGCATTTTAAAATATCTGTATTGTAATAGTGTAAAGAATGAGGTTTATTTTATCCAAAGCATAATCACTTTTTTCCTGTGTTTCAGGGCAGGAGGATTATGATCGGCTACGACCACTTTCATACCAGAATACAAACATGGTCTTAATTTGTTATGATGTTATGAACCCTACTAGCTATGATAATGTTTTAATTAAGGTAAGAGACCTCATAATTACTTGGCTTATTCATGTTAAATTTACTATGCTAGATGGGTGACAATGACTGATTTGTAACAATGCTTTTAGCAGCCTCACTCCCTAAGATTATAACTAATAAATGCACTGTTCATTTATCACCACACATCTAGCAATGGGCCTGAGACACAGTGCTGAGATCTGGATATGAGTTTCTCCAACATTTATGGGTGTTCGGATATCGGGATTGGGTTTATGGCCCTCTTAATTTCAATACAATATAAAAAATACAGAGAAACCAGAAGAGCAAAATCTAATTCTCCAGGAGTACCTCACATAAAGCTTGTCTTCTCTCCCTCACTTTTTATTCATATATTTTTGTTCTATTGTTATTTGCCCCAAAGAACTCTTACACCTGGCTTTTAACAACAAGTAATCCTATTTGTGAACCCCTGCTGCAAGGTTGACTGGGACCCCAGATCCAGAAGGCAGAAAGTTCAAGGTCAATATCCTTGCTTGAGTTACTAAGAGAAATTTTTTACTATATAATTTAGTTTCAGTTCTGTGATTGATTAGATGTTTCAGCCTAAAGTTCTGTAAAGGGAGACTGTTGCATACTTAAGGCTCAAAATGTGACCTCCAGTGGATTGGACTGAAGAACTGATGGATCTAAAGGCAGAGGAGGCCTGGGATTACTTTAAATCAAAGCTGCAGAACCTATCGGAAGCCTGCATCCCAAGAAAGGGGAAAAAATTCATAGGCAGGGGTTGTAGACCAAGCTGGATGTGCAAGCATCTCAGAGAGGTGATTAAGAAAAAGCAGAAAGCATACAGGGAGTGGAAGATCAAAGGGATCAGCCAGGAAAGCTACCTTATTGAGGTCAGAACATGTAGGGATAAAGTAAGACAGGCTAAAAGTCAAGTCGAGTTGGACCGTGCAAAGGGAATTAAAACCAATAGTAAAAGGTTCTATAGCCATATAAATAAGAAGAAAACAAAGAAGAAGTGGGACCGCTACACACTGAGGATGGAGTGGAGGTCAAGGATAATCTAGGCATGGCCCAATATCTAAACAAATACTTTGCCTCAGTCTTTAATAAGGCTAAAAAGGATCTTAGGGATAATGGTAGCATGACAAATATTACCATATCTGAGGTAGAAGCGAAACTCAAACAGCTTAAAGGGACTAAATCGGGGGGCACAGATAATCTTCATCCAAGAATATTAAAGGAATTGGCACATGAAATTGCAAGACCATTAGCAAGAATTTTTAATGAATCTGTAAACTCAGGGGTTGTACCGTATGATTGGAGAATTGCTAACATAGTTCCTATTTTTAAGAAAGGAAAAAAAAGTGATCCAGGTAACTACAGGCCTGTTAGTTTGACATCTGTAGTATGCAAGGTCTTGGAAAAAATTTTGAAGTAGTTAAGGACATTGAGGTTAATGGTAAATGGGACAAAATACAACATGGTTTTACAAAAGGTAGATCATGCCAAACCAACCTGATCTCCTTCTTTGAGAAAGTAACAGATTTTTTAGACAAAGGAAACGCAGTGGATCTAATTTACCTAGATTTCATTAAGGCATTTGATACTGTGCCACATGGGGAATTATTAGTTAAATTGGAAAAGATGGGGATCAATATGAAAATTGAAAGGTGGATAAGGAATTGGTTAACAGGGAGACTACAGCGGGTCCTACTGAAAGGTGAACTGTCAGGCTGGAGGGAGGTTACTAGTGGAGTTCCTCAGGGATCAGTTTTGGGATCAATCTTTTTATTTACTGACTTCGGCACAAAAAGTGGGAGTGTGCTAATAAAGTCTGTGGATGATAAAAAGCTGGGAGGTATTGCCAATTTAGAGAGAGACCGGATATCATACAGGAAGATTTGGATGACCTTGTAAACTGGAGTAATAGTAATAGGATGAAATTTAATAGTGAGAAGTGTAAGGTTATGCATTTAGGGATTAATAAGAATTTTAGTTATAAGCTGGGGACGCATCAATTAGAAGCAACGGAGGAGGAGAAGGACCTTGGAGTATTGATTGATCATAGGATGACTATGAGCCACCAACGTGATATGGCCGTGAAAAAAGCTAATGCGGTCTTGGGATGCATCAGGTGTGGTATTTCCAGTAGAGATAAGGAGGTTTAAGTACCATTATACAAGGCACTGGTGAGACCTCACCTGGAATACTGTGTGCAGTTCTGGTCTCCCATGTTTAAGAAGGATAAATTCAAACTGGAACAGGTACAGAGAAGGGCTACTAGGATGATCCGAGGAATGGAAAACCTATCTTATGAAAGGAGACTCAAGGAGCTTGGCTTGTTTAGCCTAACCAAAAGAAGGTTGAGGGGAGATATGATTGCTCTCTATAAATATATCAGAGGGATAAATACCGGAGAGGGAGAGGAGTTATTTAAGCTCAGTACCAATGTGGACACAAGAACAAATGGATATAAACCGGTCATTTGGACATTTAGACTTGAAATTAGACGAAGGTTTCTAACCATCAGAGGAGTGAAGTTTTGGAATAGCCTTCCAAGGGAAGCAGTGGTGGCAAAAGACCTATCTGGCTTTAAGATTAGACTTGATAAATTTATGGAGGAGATGGTATGATGGGATAACATGATTTTGGCAATTAATTGATCTTTAAATATTCATGGTAAATAGGCCCAATGGCCTGTGATGGGATGTTAGATGGGGTGGGATCTGAGTTACCCAAGAAAGAATTTTCTGTAGTATCTGGCTGGTGAATCTTGCCCACATGCTCACGGTTTAGCTGATCGCCATATTTTGGGTCGGGAAGGAATTTTCCTCCAGGGCAGATTGGAAGAGGCTCTGGAGGTTTTTCACCTTCCACTGTAGCATGGGGCATGTGTAACTTGCTGGAGGATTCTCTGCTCCTTGAAGCCTTTAAACCACGATTTGTGGACTTCAATAGCTCAGACATAGGTGAGAGGTTTTTCGCAGGAGTGGGTGGGTGAGATTCTGTGGCCTGCGTTGTGCAGGAGGTCAGACTAGATGATCATAATGGTCCCTTCTGACCTTAATATCTATGAATACAGCAACTGAAAGTGGTTGTACTCTGATGGAGAACGTCCTCTGGATCATAAATCTTTTTGTTAGTTCAAATCCACAGTTCCATCACTGACTTAAATTTTTTTTTTTTTTACAGAATTAATTTAAAAAAAAAAAGTGTCCACACTCTTGGTTTTCACTCTTTTGACTCTTCAGCAACACTGGCAGTGTATGCAGCTGTTCTTGCTGCCACGGTCCGTATATCTGTATAAATTGGAACAAAATTCTTGTTTTCAAAGTTTTAAGACAGTATTAAACATTGAAGAGTAAAACAAACAAAAAACCCCTCTCAGTATAATAGCGGTCAGTGTCCCTCTAATCTCTCTAAGCAGCATACACTCCATCTGTTTCAGAATATATGATGGGCTAGCTCTTCACTCCTTTAAAGGGTTTGGAATTTTACAATCTGTTTTCTAAGCAATTCTGAAATCAATAACAGTGAGATAACACTAGGTCTGAGTGTAATGGAGGTGAATTTGATTCTAAAATTAGTGATGTATGGTATTGGGTACAGGTGAGAGAGAGGTAGGCACCTCTTTATATCTTTGAATTTAGTATTTCTGCTCAGTATATGCGATGCTCCAAAGTGAAAGTTTTAAGACTAAAAACAGATAAATGAAACAAAGTAAGACTGGTCTGGATTCCGATGTTGTACCTGCTTTTAGAGGATTTATTCTGGATTTACACTAGTGTAAGTGAGCTCTTTGGGGGCAGGGATCATATCTTACCTATATGATTGTACAGTACCTGATGTTGATTGGGGATTTTAGGTGCTTTCATTATATAAATAATATAATATGTCTAGATGCGGCAGCTGCTCAGCTCTCAGAAAAAATTACTTCAGTTGGCTATTTTATTGAAAGTGTGCTCGTTATAGGGCTAATCCTGCTTTCTTGAAGTCAACAGCAACATTTCGTTGTCCAGGATAGAAATTTTGGGTGCGCAAGGAATGCAAGTTGATGTCCTAAAGAAACTGCCAGCTTTTCCAATTGCTCTCTATCTCAATCTTCACTCATGTCCTAAAACACAATGTAGGAGATATAGCAATGATTTTCAACCTATTTACCATGGTGTTCTGTGGGCCACATCCAATACTACCTATATGGCCTTGAGGATGTCACATGGGCTGCAGCGGTGTGCTGATTGGGCTGCAAGCAGCCCGTGGGTTGAGAACCACTGAGATATAGGAAGGCCCATGTGAGTTAGCCCTCCACGAGCAGAGCAGAGTTTACCTCTGAGTACTTTAAGGAAAGGAGGGCCCTCACATATTTACAGGTCAGGTTGTGGTATATCTATAAATACTCACTTAAACAAATAATATCCTACCCTGTTCCTAGCACTGGATACTTTCTACAATTTTGTTGTAAATTGAATGCTGATTTTGTTCCTAGGCATTGTCATTTTGATTTTTTTAAAAGCTTACCTAAATGTTTCATTTTCCACCATCAGTGGTATCCTGAAATAAGTCACTTCTGCCGTGGAGTCCCTCTAATACTTATCGGCTGCAAAACAGACCTTCGAAAGGATAAAGAACATTTACGTAAGCTCATGTCTTCTGAGCAGGAACCAATCACATATACCCAGGTAAAGATGATTGCAGTTAAGAGGTCTGTCCTTTGCCTGAGCAATAGGCACGTTTCCTGTAATATGGTATTATTACTCATGAATAGGAAGCACTGCCATGAAAATTTTGACACAAAAAGGAGCATCTCACCTCAAAAGTTAATTGCTTATTGATGCAAAATTTACCATTCAAGCACCACTTTGCAAACATTAACGAAGCCTCACAACACCCATGTTACGTAGGCAAGTCTCGCTATCCCCACTTTACGGATGGGGATAATTAGTCAGTGGTGGAGTGGCTTGTTCCTTGTCGCACAGGAAGCGTCTAGAGAAATGAAGCTAGAACCTAGGTCCCTCCCTCCCTGTTCTCTCCTATAACATACGGTCACCCCTCCCGTTAAATTTTGCTGCTGTCTCAGTGACCTGTGAGTATTCTTTGTACAAGTTTGGGCAACAGCTTGATGTGTACCAAAATTTTGCAATATTAAAAAAGGAACTATTGCTGCATCAGTGTCAGAAATTACAGTGTTATTTCCAGTCAGTCAGAAACAAAAATGTCTATCACCTTGCGAAATTCTGCAGACGGTCTCCGTTGCATTTAGTGACTCTCTTCACCAATGTCAGGCACATGATCTTTTATTATTTAGTTCAGCTCAGGTGCTGCTCAGAGCCTTGATACTGTTATTTCCACAAGAAATTGTAGACATTTATGAAAGCTCCTTTCTAAGCAAATCTGTCAGTATGGCTTAAAAAGACTGAGGGCTGGTCTCCACTCCAAGGAGATCGACACTGCTGCAATCGATGCAGCAGGGGTAGATTTAGCGGGACGCAGAGCTCTCTCCTGTCAACCCCAGTACTCCAGCTCCCCAAGAAGGTTAAGATAAGTCGACAGGAGAGTGTCTCCTGTCGATGCAGCACAGTGAAGACACCGGGATAAGTTGACCTAAGCTATGTCGACTCCAGCTATGTTATTCACGTAGCTAGAGTAGCGTAACTTAGGTCAACTTATCCTGGTAGTTAAGACAATCCCCTAATTCAAACTGTTCAGACTCTTTACAACAATGTGGCAAACTAAAACTTTATACAGTAGCATTCAGATGTTCCTATGGGAGAGATCTTCCTTCAGCTTAAGATATGGAACTGCTGCTTTGGTCCCTAAATACCCTGGTTTCAGTCCCATCTTTGAGTGGATTCTTCACAGGCTTCTCTGACATATATAGATACAGTATACATTTCCAGATAGAGGTCAATCACCAAATGGATAACAGGTACATACCAGCAGTTTGCATTGTAGAAATGTAAAATAATGTACAGAATTCTTATGGCTATTGGTTAGTAAGAAGCTTGTTTTGGGGGCAGTGTGCTTCAGGATTTCTTGTCTGTTATGCTCCATTTCCTCCTCCTTATTGAATGCCTTACATAAAACTGACCCATCCTTCTGGTTGAGTCATCTTCTGAAGCTCATCCACACTGTTCCTGGCTCAAGCAGAAGGGGCCACTCATGCAACACAAGATGCTTCTAATGCTAAGAACGGAGTTTGGGATTCAAACACTGATCCTCCACCTCGGGAGCATGCTGACATCTGAAAGTGTAGAAATTTTATGTAAAATTGTGGTCAGGTCAATTTGATTGTCCTGTAAGAAGATATACTGTGGACCCAATTTTCAAATATGGGTCCTGACAGACTGGCTACACACCTAATTGCTAATTTGAGCATTCGGATATGGGTTCTGGAGGCTCTCTTTAGAGCCTAAACTTGAAAAAAGTTGGGCTTTAAACACACAACAAGGTAGGCAAAGCCTTAAGGAGTCTCCACTGCATTGCACTTCCAAGCTGGTTTTTAGATTAAACTTTTTAAAATCAATAAAGTTGTTCTATAAGTGGAGCCCATTAATATATCATTATTAAATGTGTGTTTTCTGGTAGTGCTTAGGACCTAATACCACTTATTCCTTACCTCTACAAACAAAAGCATCTGCCTTCTTTTGCCTGACCCCATTGTATAAAGATCTCTTCAGAATTACTCACCTCTTCCCACTGTAACTCCAAGAACACTTCCATTTGTTACCTTCCTTTCTCCTAGGGTGAAGCAACTTGTCAGCAGATGAAGGCACAAGCTTATCTGGAGTGCTCAGCCAAGTGTCGAGAAAACATAGAGGATGTTTTTAAAGAAGCAACAAACATTGCACTGAATGCCATGAAAAAAGCTAAGCGCCGAAAAAAGAGGAAACGGTGTTCAATATTATGATGATCCAGACTACTGGGACTATAGAAGAGTTTGTTAAAATCTTGATACATGTATTACCAATAGTTTATTTTTATAATTTGTCTTTTTTTCAGTACATTTATTCCTACTTTGATTTTATTTTTAAAATTTGATTTTGTAATAGTGTGCTTTTGTTGCACCTCATATGAAGATTTCAAAGCTCTATCGATATTAGGTTGAGATAGATGGCTATGTATATCTGGATTTTGTTCCTGACTGTAAATGACTGTCAGCCAGGTTCCAAATCCACTATCTTTTATTTATACACTGACAGTTTGACTGGCAGTCTTTATTGCTCATAGTTTTATTCTAGCACATAGGTGCTAGTACTTCTGGCTCGGATTTATTGGTCTTGTTCACTACTGAATTGACATGGAAAGGATAGAAATGGCTGCTTCTCTCAAAGAAAGACTGAAGTTAAATCAGAGCAGATGGTCAGATTCAGAAAGGATAAAAATCAAAGTTCTATATTGAGGAGTTCTAATTATAATTACAAAGCAACAGCTCTATTAACCATTCTTCTCAGTGTAGCCTCAAGCAACTGCCCCAAACTATGTACATGTACTATTCTGCTGCAGCTTTATTAGAATGTCCACTTCGTAAAGCAGCTGTTTGGAAATCTGTTGTGTGGTCTCTCCAGATTGGATTGATGATAATAGAAAGTGTTTTACATCCTTCGTTATAGTCTACTCAGAAAACCGCTCAATGCTTTACCTCTGGCAGGTAACAGCAGCCACAATTTTGATACCCGGAGAGAGGATCTAATGTGCAATACAAGCAAAACTTATTTTAAAATAAACAAAAGTGCAATTTATTCAACACTGTGCGCTTGTATGATGTGTGGCAAACTGAGCTGTGCTACTTACATCTGTGTTAAGAATTACATGGTGAAATCATCCCTGCTGCCCCACAATGAATATTTTACCTTCAAGGACATCTAGTTAAACAATGCATGCAAAGTGTCCTAGTTGCTTCCCATTTAAGTGAGAGGAACCATCCCATTAAAATTAGCACCTGCACTCCAAGACTTTAAAGTCTTGCGAGAAATGTCTCTGTATGTGAGGTTGCTACAGCTGAAGATTTTTCACAATAATGTTACACTACAGAAATAGCATGTTTTAAAACTATATTTTACAGCAGAGGTTCTTTCTGAAATATGCCATGGTTTGGGCTGTAATATACAGTCCATCCTAGGGGAGAGTGGGTTGTGTTCATAGCATGTCAGCAAGTTATTTCTCTGTCTGAGAGGCTTACGTTTGCAGTTTTTGCCAGGATTCCTGCTAACAACCTGAAAAGTTCCAAAGCTCAGGTTATTAGGTTAGAAACATTAAGTTTCCGGTCTTATCTTCATTTGGTTGTGGATACAGCTAATAGAAAAATCCACCTTGGAGTGATCTATTTCCTTTGTGTTGTATGCAAGTGGGATGCAGAGGTTTTGTTAACTTGGAATTGACCCCAGAACTAGCCTGCAAAAAATCTAAGGACCATTAAGATTCACGGAGGCCTTTACATACCTCCAAGCTCAAAATGGAATAATCTGGAAATCCAAAACAAGCTTTGGACATTCTACTCATGTCTAGAGACAGACTGAACATGAAGGGAAGGAGGGAAAACCTCCATTGCTCTATTAAAAAAAAAAAAAAGGCAAAAGCTGATACAGGAGCTACACAGCACTCATTAGATGGAAAAACATAGTAAGATGTGGATGTGTGTTTTCTTAGCAAAGAGGGATAAAAAAATTTTTACTGCAAAGCAAGCTATAGTATATAGGCAAAAATTCAGTATACAGTTCTCTAAAAAGCCTGAGTGACAAATATGGTAGTGCTCATTCTATTTACCTCATCCAGTGCACTAAGTGCCCCATAAACAACTATGTGGGTGAAACCAGACACACAGTTGCTATGCTCTCAAATGAATTACACAGAGGAAAATAATAAGACAAAAACACTATCACCTGTGGGTTAACGCTTTCCACAAATGAAATAAGGAGAAAACTGATGTAATTAGAGGCCCAAGTGCTACAATTACAGCCTTTGGTCAGAGCCATTTTCAGAAGAACATGGTTTTGGAAAACAATGGTAAAGGCAACATTTAAAAGAAGGTCTTGAAACAGCTCTGTGTTGTACTATTTATTTCATGCGTTTTTCAGGGCTGACCAGATTACCTGATCTCTAGCTGAATATCACCAGGCTTCCTGCAAACAAAGCCGATAACAAAACATAACATTTAAACCATTAGCTTAAAGTTTGTTCTTTAAATAGTTTTTTAAAAGTGTGCATAGCAGCATGGTACAAATATGGGCAAGTTTCACAGTACACACAGGTTAGCATAGGCCACTGAAAATGTAATGTTTTAATTAACAGTTTGAGAGATAAACATTAGGTCTGCATTACTGGTTGACCTAAAGCATTTTTAATGTTTTACTAATGTAGTACCTGGAATTTCAGAAATAAAATAGTGCTGGATCAAAAAAACCCAACCCAAAAACAAAACAAGAGATGAAGGTACAGAATTACAGTGAATATCACTTTCTCCCAAGACTGGTGTTTGTTCTGGCAAGTGCATGCCACATTACTGCCATATATACAAAGGAAAAACACAAAATGTGTTTTGTATTAAATATACTTAAATAATAGGGCTGCAGAGCGGTGCTTGCATAATACTGTACAACAGTCTGTGCTGGGAGAGTTCACATTCTTAGCTTAACACGAACAGGATTTCTCCCAATGTTTGTTTGCAACATAGCTGCAGTTTACCAGGTTCAGTCTGATAAATTATTTGAGAGTGAAACGAAGAGAGATCCCACATTTTAGTGTCCACCATTGCAACCCAGTTTCACAGTTTCTTCATTTCGTCTTTGTTTTTCTGAAGCTTAGTGTGCACCACTTTTAAAGTAGTAAGAAAGTTTCCAAGGAAGAGCAGCAGAAATGTGAGAGCCAGTACAAAAACCTGGGTGTGGGGCAGAAAAGAAAACAACACACAAAAGTGATTATCCATTTGATAAGTCTTCTAATTATGACAGCAGTTAGATTTGAAGGGGTTTGTTTTTGTTTTTTTTTTTAAATGATAATGAGGTCCTGGCCATAAGTGTAACACACATGCACAACCCCCACCCACAATCAGGCAAACTCTATACTTGCCTTAAAAAGTGAGTCACCATATATGAAAGTTGTAGACAAAACAACAGGTTTTCCCTTCAAAATGGGTTCAATTGAAGGGGGTTTATAGTCTTTCCATGCAATAGGACAAAGTCTGATATATTGGGTGTTTTCAAGCTCCGACTTCTATTGTCCTATTTTATAACCAACATTTGTCCTTATGTAAGTAAAGATAAGGAGGTAACCAAATCTCATGCCTCAGATTGTACACTGATCCCCATAGAATTTGGGAAGGCTGTCCTGGTCTCTGCCCCACCACCATAGCAAATCCTACAATTCTGTTAGCAGTAGTAGGGGCAATGGGCACGTATAGAGGGAGACGATCCTAGTCCAATACACAGAACTCACATGTGGCTCAGTGGGTTATTCAGTTAGCAGGTGTATACTTTTATCATGATCATTTAAATGGGATTTTACAGCCTTTAACATTAAACAGTTTACTACTTTTGTACACAGATTATTTTTAAACTACTTCACTGTATGGGAGATGTCATGGTCCAGTTCAACTACTCTGAAGTAAGTGGGGTTGTTCATGCTTATGCCAGGGCTATATTTAGTCCCAAGCCTCAGCATATGTAGGAACATTCATTAATATGAGAGGAACTACATGCATAATGAGAAGATATCAAGCTAACACTGGAGGGTGCGTCCCTCCTTTTTTACTAGGAAACAAAAGCTGAATGCTAGATTGTGTGATGGAGCTAGGGCATGGGGTCTGCGGAATTTAAAAAAAAAAAAAAAAAAAGCCCACAACAGGAGATTCCCTGCCCTATTGGGTGTGCAATAACTCTTCTAGATTTCATTTGAATTCATAGATTCAAAGGCCAGAAGGTCTGACATCCCTGTATAACACAGGCCAAAGAACTCCCCAAATATTCCTTTTGAAGAAGAGTAAATCAAGATTGGACATTTTTCCTGAAAGAAATAAAGATGGTTAGTGATGGAAAATCCACCATGACTCTTGGCAAATTGTTCAAAAGGTTAATTACTGAATTTACATCTTATTTCCAATTTGTCTAGTTTCAACTTCCAGTCAGTGGATCATGTTAGACTTTTCTCTGCTAGACTGAAGAGCTCATTATCAAATATTTGTTCCCCTTGTAAGTACTTCTAATCAAGTCATGCCCCCTTAACCGCCTCTTTGTTAAACTAAATATATTGAGCTCTTTGAGTCTATTACTACAAGGCATGTTTTCTAATCCTTTAATTGTTCTCATGGCTCTTCTCTGAACCCACTCCAATTTATCAACATCCTTCTTGAATTGTGGGCGCCAGACCTGGTCACAGCCTTCCAGCAGTGGTCACACCAGGGCCAAATTCAGAGGTAAAATAACCTCTCTACATCTATTTGAGATTGCCCTGTTTATACGCCCAGGATTGCATTAGCTTTTTTGGCCACAGAGTCACACTGGAAGTTCATGTTCAGCCGATTATCCACCATGATCCCCACATCTTTCAGAGTCACTGCTTCCCAGGATAGAGTCCCTCTCATGTAAGTATGGGCTACATTCTTTGTTCCTAGATGTATACATTTCTATTTAAGACGTATCAGAATGCATATTGTTTGCTTGACCCCATCTTACCAAGCGATTCTCATCATTCTATATCAAGATCAATACAAGCAACTGAATTCTAGAAAATGTGTACATATTGTTTCCAATGAGGAACACTAAGTAGAAAAGTGTCGGGATCCTTAAAGATATAGTAATAAAGTGGATACTGCCATATTCTTTATACCTACCTTCTGTTTGGTATTGTATTCAACTTATACAGAGGAAGTTATTCTGACAAATTCTAGGTCAATTTTCAGACTAAGGCATTTGGATCAATAGGATAACTCTATTTACAACAAACAAGAACTCTGATGTTACCTACCTGCCATTCTTTGCATTCCGTATGCCTCGACAGTTCAAAAAGTGTGATTGCATTATACAGCTGCCAAAACTAAGAAGAGAGAGACCACTTCATTAAAAATATAATAAAAATAAAAATGATTGTTAAACAGTTTAGGTTGCTGTAAATTTAGTAATTAGCACAGCAAGGGAAGCTACTTGACATGCCGGTGTGTCCTCTGGCAAGAGAAAAAAAATTATTTAATTTTGGAAGCCATAGCTATGCATGAGGTACGGGTAAGATACTTGTTGCTAACCATGAAGGATTATGTAAAACATTGCATAGATATTATATTTAAGTCTGGTTCTTCAACAAATCAGCACATTAATGTGACTCAGGCTTTTCATGCACAAATGCATTCTATTGTATGATGTTCATTTACAGGTGCATTCCCTGTGGGTGAGAGGGCTGATAAAAAAAATCAGTAAGATTTAAGGTATCAAAAGAATTAAAACGTTTTAAAGAGTTTGAGTGTGTTATAGGAATTAGTCTTGAATGAATCACAGCAGCAGAGCAACATTGAGCCTCCCTTTTAAAACAAATCAAGAATAATCAATTTCTCCCAGGTAGATTTTCCAATTGCAGTTTTGTCTGCAAGAAGGGAGGAATACATCTACATTTTTAATCCCTTTTCTTATTTAAAATTTTATACTGCACCCAGTATCACCATGTGTCATTATGTATGTATCCATGGCACATCTTTTGTATCACGCGGTACACACTAAGACATCATCCTGTCCCAGAGAGCTTGGAGTCTAAGGGCCTCAGTCTGCATTCTTTAGGAGATTTCAGAGGTTACCTCGAGTAAAGGATGGAGGATCGGTGCTTCAATTGGACACAGACAGTACAGGACAAATCTGTAATATACTGGAAAGCTACATGCAGGTCCAGTCACAAAGTGGAGTGTAGTTTGTATTTATGGTTTTCAATTACACACTTCTTATGTTGGTGCACGATTGCTGAAATACTCCATGGAAAATCTCTTCAGAAGGTGGAATTTCAGCAAAGCAGTGTGGTCAGATGGTATCCAAAGAAAGGGAGGGAACTTTAAGCATGAGGGGCAGCATAAAAGGTGCTGTAGCTATGAGTGGAGGGGTACAAAAAGTGCATTTAGGAGCATAAGCGGTTGGGGGATGGAGGGGAGAACGAGGCGGTGGTGGTGGAGGAGTCAGGCAGGGCTTTGAAAATGAGGTGCTTGAACTATTCTATTGTGATGTACATTACACAGGTTTCTGGGTTGTTGTTTTTTTAAACTTGCTAGCAGCTGGCACAGAGGCAAGGGGATATTTGATCTATGACCCACAACCATTGTGGAAGTAAATAAATACCCCCAATGCCCCCAACCACCTAATAAACATGAAGTCAGAGTGGGGGAGGGGAGAAATTTGTCCTCAGAAAGTAATAGAAGTGGATTCAGGGAGAAGGAGTAAATTTTAGTGCTAGGAGCTCTTGATTAAAAAATGCCTTAACCCCAGGAGTTTAACCCTAAGAAACAGACAACAAGGGTATCCCACTTTATTACAATGGCAAGAACAAGTCAGGTTTCAGAGTAACAGCCGTGTTAGTCTGTATTCGCAAAAAGAAAAGGAGTACTTGTGG